AATTTGTGGGTAAAATACATTCATCGCCTGGAGGTTTTCGATAATCGACGCTTCGTAGTCTGGCCCGGGTGGGATGAAGTGAGCGGACTAATAACCCAGATGTAAGTCGTTAGGTATTTGGGAATGCATCGAACGCCAACTCGCTAGCGCACGGAATACAGTACAATGGGCTCCGCTGGTTAGGGCACGTTTTGCATATGCCTGATGGCCACCAACCATATGGTCTAATTTGCAGTTTCCGCTCCGTAGTGGAAAAAGTCACGTTAAGGTCAACAGATGAAGTCGAGACGAGGCATGAAGAAATGTGGGTGCTTCTCGTGTTCCAGGTTGCGGTCCAAAACACTCAATAACTAGATGGTTGGAGACACTGAAGGTCAAAGCAGTAAACCGGCAACATTGGAGATCTTGCTGTCGCCTCTTAACAGACCAGAATGAGGCATGCGCGAAGTGTGAAATTATGGATTGCATTGCAATCGGAATACCAGTGGTACAAACTAACACCCGGGCATTCGACTACTGACAGATCTATGGTGTTTGTCACAGGTGAAAACCGTTTTTAGCCCAGAAATAGATTCTCTTCTTGGAGGCACTTGATTAACAAGAGGGACAACGGGGGTGGACAAAAAAACAGTTGACAGGTTTATTTGGAAAAACGCACACATTTCCCAAATATATTAGATTTATGGACGTGGAATATTGCATAATGAATATCGGTAATTTCTTTTTCAGTGTCTCTTATTTAATTGTCACAGCAAACGGTAGAAATAAACAATAAACCAATTAAAACAAAATGTTAAACTTCTTACACACACTTCATGGAATGAGCTGTGACAGNTGAAATGGAATAGGACAGAAAAGAGTTCAGCGATGAGGTGGAGTTACAGCCCGAAATGGATCCGATCAGATGAGAAAACTGAGGTGTGTTGAACGAGGCTGTGACAATTGCGCACTAATCTCGGTTTTATGATCATCATGCGATCGTGATGAAAGACTGGCGAAACATGGCGAATGCGAGCATATTTGAGTGCCACTGTACAAGATGCACCGTTCGTATCACATGTACAGTCGACAAAAGTCTATCATTGCCCGATCATGAAACACGTCCATCATCTCTTGTGAAGCCGTGGTAATGACTGGCAAGAACGTGGGCAAACCTTTAAAGTGCAGATTGACAGACTGAAACACATGGCGGTTTGGATCGAAAAACTCGAACAGGTCCGGTTTGGGAATTTGCTGTGAAATGGAAGAGAATAGATCGGAGTGCGGGGAAAGGTATGGCAATTCAATCTGATTTGATTATTTGCACAGCAATGTGCACTCAACGATAAATCTTTCAAGACAATTTCAGCTATATGCATGGAGTCTGTATCAAAAATAAAGCCTTGGAGCGATTATATTAGAGATGGAGGTTGACCACTTGCTCCAGTGGACGATCGAGATTACCTAAAACTCTGCGCCTAACCTCACCATTGCTCGTTTAGTTTCCTCACCAGACTCGTGCAATACGAAGTAGACAGCGGTGTTCGAACACCGACAAGCTATTTTTATGCTGGTCCCTAAATGGCCAAGTCTCCGCACTGTATGGTAGGACTGGCCGAACGGCTGTAGCGTAAACTCGACTCTTCACGAACAGCCGGATGCTGCGACGGTCAGCCTGGTTCTTACGCGTGCTCTCTTCACGTGTGGCAGACAATCGACGGAGTATAATACCAGCGAGAAGTTTAGAGATGTTGATTGAAAAAATTCATCTGTGGTTTTCACAAGAGGACCTGTCGCCTTCCTTCTAAATCGATAAGATTACTGATTCACACCAATTCATTGAAACCTCTTCGCTCTCCCACACTGAGCCCCGGAGTTTCGTTAACTCCAAAACCAAGGCGGAACCTCCATCGGAGGTTTCCATGTAAGGCGGTGTCGTTTCTTGTGCGGGAAGTTGGTGCTTGACAAGAACAGTCCGTGGTCAGCGCCAAGTTGGAGTATGCGTTCTCCGTTGTCAGTCCGGTTGGTGGGGATTGCACGTGTTGGGACGAAGATCAACGCCATTCGTCCCACGATAAGCCCGGCAGCACACTTGCTAATTCAGTGAGCAAAATCAAACAATTTTACAGCACATTCGACCCAAGTTGGGTCATCTCGGATCAAAACTAATTTCGCGGAGATAAATCAATCATACTGCGTCGTACGGCAATATTCACTCCCTCCGTTCGTCTGATCCGCAGCCCAAGGCCGTTTGAACATTGCTCACTGTGCATTTCATTGTCACATATAAGCAGCAGAGTGAACTTGTAAATGGACTTGTGACGCATGACTCGTGACTTGTGATTTGTGCTCAACGCCATTAAAATCCCGTGCTGCTGAAGCGTTGTCTTCTCTCTCGCGTGTTTGGGAGGCCTGAGAGATCGATAGCCGACCGTGCATCCTGTGTTTCACCTAGGTAGCGTCCGCCCCTAGGACTATCATCCCCTCACGGACTTAGTGTCAGTCCGATGTTTTCGTTTCACGTGTACTATTATTGTTACTGACTATATATTGTGTTCTTAGCACTTGTGGTCTTCTCCCGCGACACAGTGCTGTGCGACCCAATAGTAGGCAACGGATATACGCGGCGCAAAACATAACAGCACGTGAACAACCAAGTAGCCTTTCTGATTCGTCCAGGTATCCCACTTGAGCACTGAAATCTCCAGCGGCTACCAAGATGTCCCGTTGACCGAACACTTTGGATCAGTTGAGAGAGATCCCTGTAGAATTCATCCTTCATTTCTGGCGAATGGCAATCAGTCGGTGCATACACGGATATGACGAATAGGCATCGACGCTTCATTCTGTAGCCGTTGACCCATACTGAACCATCCAGACGTACAGCGCAAGGTCGGCTACTAACCGGGATCCAGTCGAGAAGTGAACGCTCGTCCGTGACACAGCGCGATCCCAACACCAGCAACACAGAGAGCTTCGGATACCGAATCGACTGACACACGGAAAGTGAAGCGTGAGGATGAGGTTCGATCTGGAGAACACAAGGAGATTATTGAAGTAGTCTTGTATGCGCGTTTTGGAGACACAGCATGCCCGTGTGGGAGCTTCTGGAGACCTGTCGCGCAGGGCCTTTGAGTTTCGATTAGTTGTGTCAGTCGCTGGTGCGTTGATTGATGGTCCGCTTTTCGGGATCAGCCCTCAGCCT